TCATCCATCCGTTTCTTCCTCTCTCAATCACTCCCCCCCCCCCCCCCCCCCCCCCCCTTTCTGTCTCTTTTCTTCTTGTTCTTTCCCCTGTTCATCCATTCGAGTTGCAATGCTGGCTCAGTCCTTATAATCCTCAGCTTCCCGTGATCACAATGTGCCACGTGTCGATACATTGTGGAGGGGCATCATCCACAACACACCACATGGTAATCACGACCTGCCACGTAGGATAGAACAGCATGACCCTTCTATAAATAGAACAACGAGGTCCCCCCCTTTCCCCCCTCCCCCACTGTATCTCAGTTATTTTAACTAAAAAATCTCACTAGAGACAGACTTTTAAGGCACACACGGCACGAAACCATACCCAAAAAGACAAAAACAAAAACACTTGCACACAAGAGCAACAGCAGGGCTTTCTTACGGACTTTTTTTTTTTACATCTGGCAATCAATTTTCTACTATCTCTTTCAACCTGCAAAGATCTACAGCTCTCGAAGCTTTCTCCACTGCATAGAGATTACAAGAGTTATAATGACTGTTCGGATGCTTGTGCTTGTGGTTGGGCATCTTGAATGAGCCATTTTTTCGAGGGAGTAATAAGTAAATCATCAATGCCCAGAAACACCAACCGAAAAAGAGGTAAACCTTATGTTGAAAAGGGGGGTATCCTTATGCTCCTGCAAAAGACCCTCACACACAACACCAACCAAAAAATAGGGTATGCTTATGCTGAAAAGAGGCTATCCTTCTTCTGAAAAGGGGGTTATCTCACACACAAGACCAACCCCAAACGAGGGTATCCTTATGCTGAAAAGAGGGTACCTTTTTACTGAAAAGGGGGGTATCATTATGCTCCTGCAAATAACCTCACAGACAAGACCAACCGAAAAAGAGGGTATGCTTATGCTGAAAAGGGGGGTATCCTTATGCTCTTGCAAGCATTCATGGGTTGGGGTTTGCCACCGCTACAGGCTCCCTTACCTCCCATGATGATCTATTGGACCCATCACCGGGTCATAAAGACCCCCTATGATTGGGTTCTTGAGATTGTCGAATAGAAGAGAAGACACAATCTGTCTGACACTGACGGCATGCACCTCCTCCTTTGAGAAAAAGCCAAAATTAACAGCTTCTATTTTTTTAGAAACAACCTGCAGACAAAAGACCAAAACAGGGGGGAAAGAGGGGGGAAAGAGGGGTCAATTATACA